TTTTTTTTCCAAACCAGCTTTGGTATATTGATTTTGACAAATATCTTATTTTTGATCTGTAACTAAGCTTTTTCTTTGCCATTAAAGACAAATTTACACAAGATAAAAATAAAACTCTTTTTGAATATTTCTTTATACTATTTTTTGGCTTATTAATGATATATAATGATAAAACTGACAACGAATAAATCACGTAAATGCAGCTGCAAAATTACACTTTTTTCTTTGACTTACCATTTTGGTTTAACAAGTCAAATTCAAATACTACGTGCATCAGGAATACTTGCAAACAAATTATGAAATAATTGAACTGAAAATAACTTGCAATTGGAGTTGTTATAAGTCCATAACATGGTTGCTAAGGGCGTTGCTAAGAGTACAAATCCATATCTATGTTAAGATATTTTAAAATAACTTCAAAAAAAAGTTTTTTTTTTAAAAATTTCGATGACAATTTCAGATTCAGTGATAAATTTTGATCTTAAACAGTTATAATAAAAAAAATGAAAATATTAAGATTTTCACCTTTTTGATTGTATAGTAGTACCTTAAATTGGCTGATCAAAGTAGGTTTTCTTTAAATATTTTTCGGTGACTTCTGATCAAAGTAGGTTTTCTTAAAATACTTTTCGGTGTCGAATTTGTACATAAATTGAAGCGCTTAGTACTTTTAGTACTAAGCGCTTCAATTTATGTACAAATTCGACAAATGTAAGTACTATAATTCAAGCGCTTAGTGCTAAAAGTTCTTAAGTCACAAAAAAAATATTTTAAGAATATCATTTAGCTCTAAGCTCTTCAATTGGTAACATATATACTTTAACGTTTTTACTTAATGAGATATTTACAACATTTAATGAAAGAAAAAAATGACTTCTTAAGGTGGTACACCCCCATTAAGTTTAATATTATTTCAGAAAAAATCAATTTTTTAAATATTTATACTTTTTAGTTCATAGAACTTTTTTATAATTTTGTTTTTTAAATAAAATAAACAGATAAGTAAGTAAAAATGTATGTACTTAGACCATAAAAAGATTTTGAGGTCCGTAGCAACGTCATAGCAACGCATTTTGGAATAAGAAAAATTTCATTATGTTCAAGCTTCAAAGCAACAATATCTTATTTATACTTCACCTTCTTCTTTATTTTGTGCTCTATGTTCAGTGAAGGTTTTTAATGGGCTCATGCCCATTAAAAACTTTCACTAAATATTTTTTGTACTTTTCTTAAAACGTCATTTTTAACACATGTGAAAATTTAAAAACAAAATAATTTCAGATTGGGACCATATGTTAACTTGAAATTTTCAGAGTGTTTTCGTTAGTGTTTTGTCATTCTAGTTAATTACCTAAGTTATTAATTGATATAGAAAATGAACTAGAATCACAAATAATCATGGTGTAAAAGTTTATTTAATATCTTTATTACTTGCCTTTTTTGTTAAAATATTTAAGAAATCTTTTAAAAAATACTTTTAAAATTTTGCATACGTCTTCAATGCATGATTTTGTTTCATATCCTCTTCACATGTTTTTGAAAAATAGTTTGAAAACTTTAGAATTAATTGGTTTATAGAAATGGAGAAATCTTGTTATAAATTAGATCCACTTTTGCGAAATTTTAGTGGGCAAAAGTTGGAAATCAAAATTTCAATTTAAAAAAATATTAGCACATTTGTTTCAACTTGCGTAATGGTTTTTTAAATTTTGTTTCAATTATTTTGAGGAAAATGTTTTGAACTGAGGTGTGCCACTTTAAAGTAAAAATTTGTTCTGATAAACTAGAGAGGAAAGAGGAAGAAACAAAAAGTTAAACAGCAGCACCATCCCCTCGTTTATTCGACAGGTGAGAGTAAATATGAACAACATTTGGAACCTGTAAATGTTAAAGCATACAAATCAACAAATTAAAAAAAAATTTAAAAATTCGAGTTAAATTAAATAAAAATTGTTTATAAATTAAAGGTCAAATGTTTGATTGTGTTGGCTCTCACTAGTTATTTTTTAAAACTTCATCAGCTAAACTAGCATCAAATATTAATAAATCTATTTATATTCTTACTCTTACTATTTTTAGTGTCATTTAACATGGAGATTTCATTCAAGTGATGAATAAAAACATAACCACAAAGAAAATACAAAAAGTTCTCAAAGTAAATGGGGTAAAAGATATGTCATATATATATATATATATATATATATATATATATATATATATATATATATATATATATATATATTTATATATATATATATATATATATATATATATATATATATATATATATATATATATATATATATATATATATATATATATATATATATATATATATGTATATATATATATATATATATATATATATATATATATATATATATATATATATATATATATATATATATATATATATATATATATATATTAACAGTGGAAAAACAAAATGAACTCATTCAGGTTACGAAAAAATGTGCCTGTTGCTTTTCACCAAGCTAATTGGGGTGAATAGCAACACTGGTTAGATTGTTGGTATTTTGCCATTAGAAATAACACAGGGTGTATAGCAATACGTTAAATATGTACACACAATGTATTTAAGATTTTAAAAAATAAAAAATTCATATAAAACTTGTTAAATTCTAAGAAAAAAGTGACAAAACTTTATTTTTAAGCAAACATTTTCCTAAAATTGAATCTAAAGGTTTCTGAACATCTTTAAGAAAACTGAATGCATTTAATTTATTGTAAACCCATCAAGATCATCATCAAATGAAATAATTCCTTGAAATCTTCCAGCTGTGCACAATTTCGGTTTCCCAAGCTTGCGGATGACAAGAATCAAAATGAATCTTCCTCTGAGAAGCTCTCCCTCCATTCTGCATCACTTTCTTGAAGTGAATAGTCAGACTCTTCAGTAGTTGATTCATCAGGATCTTTTACATCTTTTTTTCTTTTTAATGTGTTCTTTGGTCCTTTGCTCGTGTTACTAGGTCCTGCTGTACATTCATTTTTGTCAGTAGAAACCTCTGTTGGAAAGTCTGTAACTTCAACACTTTTACCTGGAAGGATGGATACTTTTTTTCTTGTTTGCCTTGCCTTCGGTTTGTCGGGTTGTCTTATAGATTCCATGTATTGCTTGAAGCTGGCATCCAATGCTTCAGCGGCAGCTTCATTGCTAACTAATCTCTTAGAACCTTTAGAGGGAGGCAGCATGCCAAGGACTTTTTCCCTATTCAGTGGAATAACGCCACATTTTTTGAAACCAGAAACATCATTTGCTTCTTTAAGTGACACAAATAACTCTTTTAGAAGAGGTGGGAATCGATCCTTTGGCAAAGACGCTTCACTTCTTCTTGGGCCTTGTTTCCGTTTTAAAAGGATGGATCTCCAAGTCAGTTTAAGGGGGTGGAAGAATGCCACGTCCAGTGGTTGTGTAAGGTTAGTGGAGTTACTTGGTAAAAATACGAATTTGATGTTATGTTCTTGACATATTTTAATGACATCTACAGATAGGTGTGAAGCCAAGTTTTTACCTAACAAGACCTTCACTCCTTTGAGTTTTGATAAATGTGGTATTGCAATGGTCTTAACCCAGTCTTGAAAGTAATACGAATCAAACCACTCTGACTTCGTTCTGTTGAATCTCGAGTTTGGTGGTCCCCCAACTCTCCAGCTGTCATACATGTGCTGAGCTTTGTATACTACATAAGGCGATAAGATGGTTCCGTCACCAGCAGCGGCAAACATAACCGACACTGAAGGCTTTGTAGAGTTCATGACTTTTCCGGGATACTTACAGCCCCGCCGAGCTATAACCGTTTTCCGGCCCGGGTCGTCGCATAAGTTGGTTTCATCGTAGTTGATGATATTACTTGCCGGAATATCTTTTAGTTCTGTAGCAAGATGGTCAAAGTATTCATTTATATTCTCTTCATTAACTGCCACTCTCGACCGTTTAATGTTTTGACACATGCGAGCCGATAGTTCCTTCTTGTGTCGTTCCGGGAAGCTGTAAAAAATCAGGCCCAGGCATATTATCCTCGAATTTTGGGACAGTTTTTCCCTGCATTTCAATATAATCCTTAATTAGCAGTCTCAAAGTAATTGAGTCAATTGGATATCCCCAATCACTGCAGATCTGAAGTCTACTAACTAAGAGGTTTTCATCATATTCCGACAAAGCGGTTTGGCCACCTTTTTTAACAGTGTCATACTTACAGTCGGAGCTTTTGACGAACAAAGTTTCTTAAAGATTTTCAGCGGCAAATCAATCAACAACAACAACCTCAAACAGGGATGCCAACATAATTAAATATAACTTCCCTAACAAAACAGGTAATTACCCATATTTCAGAAATGAAAATTCCCTTTGCATTTAAAAGGGATCATAAGTAGCAAATTTTCAAAATATTTATGAAGTTTTGTTGCAATTCACCCCTACTGTTGCTATACACCCCATTTTACGGTATATATATATATATATATTATATATATATATATATATATATATATATATATATATATATATATATATATATATATATATATATGTATATATATATATATATATATATATATAAATATATATATATATATATATATATATATATATATATATATATATATATATATATATATATATATATATATATATATATATATATATTTACACATATGTACATTTATATTATACTTTTGTATAGGCTATAAAATATATATATATATATATGTATTATATATATATATATATATATATATATATATATATATATATATATATATATATATATATATATATATATATATATATATATATATATATATATATATATATATATATATATATATATATATATATTTACACATATGTACATTTATATTATACTTTTGTATAGGCTATAAAAAGGAAATTTTTCAAAATTATTTTGAAATCAAAAAACAAATTTTAGCAGAAGAAAACTAAATGAAATTAAATAAAAAGAAATAAATGCTTTTACTTGCATCTCACAAAAACGAATCTTTTGATTGCAATATTGACACGTAACCAAACGATAAATGCATTTTGTTTCCATGTGATCACTGAGCTCTTTACGCAAAAGAGAAGTAGAACACTGTTCATTGAGGCATTTTACCTCTTGATATTCACAAGTTTCTAAATGGTTCTTAAATAGAAAAACATATTTAGCCATTAATAAATTATTTTAGAATAACACTCTCTTTAAAATAGCTTTGTTTTTTAAATGTTGCTAATAAGTGCTTTTCTTATCAGATATTGAGTGGTTTTTTTCTATTAAAATTTCTGCCTTGTGAAAACTTTGAAAAAAAACACTTTTTAGCAAGAAATTAAATCTAATTAAAAATTTCGCTGAAAAATGAAAAAAATTGGGGTGATAGATTAATCGGTGTTTTAAGTTAATTGATTAAATATTAATTTTCGAAAAATTATTTATTAACTTTGATTAATTTTATAAATAATCTCTACAATTTAAAAAAATTAAGTACAAATTCTTTTGGTTTTGTTTCTCTTTCTCTATCAGATATTATTTGAAAAAACTTAAGTTATGAAGAGAAGAAGAAATTAAAATCATGTTTCTACTCTATTTTCCAGTTTCCTTCTCTTCTATTTTCTAAAGTTTTCAAATGCTGCCACTTCTCGTTTAATACAAGGCAAAATTTTATTACTGGTTCCTGATTACAAGTAAATTTAATATCAGACTAAGGTGTTGCTTCTACATCCTCATGTTTAAAAAACAAAAAGCTGCATTACAAACGTGTAAAAAACCTTGGATATGTATACTGATCTTAAAGAAATGGTATCTGTGTTGGTATTGCCTTTTTAGACATTGGAAAAGCTTTTGACTCGGTTGCGCATAGAAGACTTTATACCAATTAACTCCAATTAAATTCTTTAATTGGAGTTAATTGGTATAAAGGGGTTATTACTTAATTGGTGTGTGTTGTTTTTAAATAACAGAAAACAAAGAGTAGTTCTAGGGAAATATGCATCATATAGAAAACTGTATAAAGTGGAATACCGCAAGGGTCAGTTCTTGGTCCTTTACTTTTTGTAATTTTTATCAATGACTAGCACAGGGTTTAAATAACAATGCTAAATTATATGCAGATGACATAAAAGTGATATCAAAAATAGATAAAAGTTCGCATAATAATTCCCTTCATGATGACTCGGATTGCCGCTTCGAATAGTCGACTAATTGACTAATAAGCTTTAACAGTAATAAATGCAAGATAATGCACATAGGTCACGGTAACCCAAAAAAAACATGCACAAAAAATTAGGAACATCTAGAAAAAATCATAAAAAGATATCGTTAGAACGAGACATAGGTGTATATATTTTAAATGATTTAAAATGGGAACATCATATTGAGTCTAAGGTTAACAAAGCTAATAGTAAGTTGGGGTTAGTAAAACTCACGTTCAAATATATTGACAAAAATACTATGAAACTATTATACATATCTCTTATGCAACCTAACTTAGAGTATGCATTTCAAATTCGGAACCCATACTACGCTAAATAAATTAATCTTATAGAAAAGTTTAAAAACAAGCAACTAAAATTTGTTTTCCTAAAAAGTATTAACTATGAACAAAGGTTACAAAATATGGAACTTTCAAAATAGTTTGATAGAAGGTTCCGAGATAATCTAATTCAGATGTTTAAATTTTAAAACAATATAGATAAAATAAACTGGCATGACGAACCTGAAAGTATAACTAATACTACGAGAGGCTATGAGCAGAAAGTAAAAAGACAATATGTACGAATTCACTCTCTAGGCATAATTTCTTCACAAATCAAACAAAGATTTTGTAGAAAACACAAAGCAATTATATCACATTTTATCAGATGGTATTCACTTTTTCTCAGTGCCATAACAATTGATTCTTCAACATGAAGAGGCTGAACAATATCAGAGATGTGCTTTATTTATTATTTGATAAAAGTTTCTCAGTTTTGGATATTTCTAGAAGCGTTTTTTCAAGAATAGTTTTCAAATCCAGATATCCATTTTACACATTGATAAAAAATTTCCAACTTATTTTAGTATTAAGAATAGATCTAAGCTCTTTTCCTCATCAGATCCACTATGTTTTGTTACAAATTTTTCAAAAATCCTAAAGCGTATCATTTTTAAGTGGCAATTCTTTCAACAGCTTGAAATTTTTACAAATCTTAAATTTAATTATTCCATCGTAATCGTTATATTTTCTTGTTACATCAGGATTGGAACAAGATTCTTCGTTTTCATGCTAAGTTTATAAAAGTTGCCTTTATAGCATGTTGATTATCAAAGATTTTAAGTCCTTGAGTTATCCAGCTCTTTTTAATATCTTCAAAATTAGGCAAAACTGCAAAAAAAATATTATCTACAGTTGTTAAACGAGCTTTTTCAGCTTTGCCGTATACTTTCAGCTTTGTTACTTGTTTAAAATATGTTAAGCAGCAACTCTTTGCTGTATATTTTTTGCTATTTCTGGAACAGCTTTGATTGAAATTTTTTTTTATTGTTGTGGCTTAAGGTGGTATCCAGCCATTATTTTGGTGAAAAAATGAAAAGAAAAAGGAAAAGCTTAAAGGAAAATTAAATTTAGAAAATTGAACCTTGCAAAATTCAATAGTAAAAATATCTTTTCCAAAATATCTTCAGAATATTTCAATTTTATTCTTTTCAAACATATGGTTTATGTGCGTAGTCATAATTTTAAAACTGATTTATCTCAGTTTTTGTTTTTTTTATGAGTAGCTGTGGGAAAACAATAATATCTCAATAGAAAAACATTATTTTAGCTTTAAATTTTCAGGATATGCTCATTATTAATGTGTTTAGTGCCTGAACCTAAAACAAAATTAAAAAAAAGTAAACTTAACCTACAATTACCATATCAAATAAGTGTTTTATCGCTAAAAATAATTTTTTATATTATCAAGTCTGCCATTTTTGATCGCTTACAACTTTTGAAAATTTTTTGGTTCAGGCACAAGCTACACTGATATACTAGCATTTTGCAAAATTTCAACCTTTAATATTGATGTAATCTTCAGTTATTTATGTTTTTGGGACGTTAACTTTTTTAGTCAGCAATTTTTTTTTTTTCAAGTTAAAAAAATATTTGCAATATGTTTTCGATTTTTATATATTATTCTAGTAATTCATAAAATGTATTTATTATGTGCAAAGTATAAGAAAATAAAAATAATAGCTGGGTACCACCTCAAATGATATTCACAAAAATAAGAACGATTTTTTTCCATACGTCATTGCAATTTGCGGTACTGCTGCATTATTTGATACCATTTCTCACCGATACCGGAAAAGTAAAAACCATTACCGGAAAAGTAAAAACCAAAAAAAAAAAAAAACTATATTGTAAATATAACAACAAAATATAAATAAAAATAATTATAACCATGTTAAAGGTTTGAAACAAAAAAATCGGTCAATCATTTGTTAATTTATCAATTAACCATCAATTTTTATTAATCATTTAATAGTTTATCGTTTACCACTTCTTCTTACATACTTTAGAAAGCCTAGAGTTAATTTGCTGCATTAAATATATTTTATATTTTATAAAAAATTTTAAATTACATACATCAATTGCTTTTAGCTCTCCAGTCCATTGACAATTTTTTAAGAAGTTATTACATTTAACTTTTAATTGCAGAACGGCTCTTTCAATAGCTTTATCGCGAAAAGTCTAAAGGAAAATTTTTATTTCAATTTTTAATAAGAAACTTTTATAAACAAATAAACTTATCTATTTTTTATTATTGTTATTTTTTACTCTTTTGAATTTTTTTTTTTTTTTTTTTTTCCGTTTACATATATAAATACAATAGATTTACCTGCTCAGGCTTCAAATTAGTATTGTCTATTGGGCAAACTAAAACTCCATTTTTTCTAAAATAAAAAAGCTTGCTATTTATAAAGGTAAGTTTTATTTATAGGTAATAAAAACAATAACTGTTTAAAAAACGATGTTTTTGATTCTTGAGTTTTGTTTAATATAATGAACTTATTTCAAATATTGTTTTTTGTGATCTATTTTGTTTCAATTTGTTTAGTTTTGTTGATAAATTATAATTTATGACAAATTTTACATTTTTTGGACATATTTTAGTTATTTATGTGTCTATTTTGCGGTTTTAATTTTGCAAAAATAATGCATTCTGAATTGATTATTATTATTATTATTGTTATTACTTTATTCATTCCTTATTTATTATGGGATTCAGTGATTATATAGCTAACATGTTTTATTTATATTTGAATATATATATATATATATATATATATATATATATATATATATATATATATATATATATATATATATATATATATATATATATATATATATATATAGATATATATATATATATATAGATATATATTTATATATACAAATATGCTGGTTTTACATTTAAACATAAATGATAAAAAAATATAAATATTTACCTCATATATATATTAAAAACATTCATGTTAATTAAGAGTGACCTTAAGTGAGTTAAAGGAGTTTTGAAATTTATAAGACGTGCAACATACTTCTGCTGGCAATAAAGTGGCATTAATTTACTTTTATGGGTACTACCCCATGCAATATTAGCATAATTAATGTGACAATGTATAAAGGAGTAACATAGTTGAATTAATGATTGTTTGTTTAAAACGCATTTTGCTTTATATAAAACTCCAATGCTTTTTGCAACTTTGTTGCATAAACGTCCGATATAATTCTTCCATGATAAATTTTCATCTAAAATAATACCTAGAAAATTAGTGAAAATTTCTCTTTTTATTTGAATATTATCAATATGAAGAAGAGGCATATTATTTGAAAGTAATTTTTTTTAAATCGTGGATCAAAAAAAATCCATTTAGTGTTATCGATGTTGAGTAAAAGTTTATTTTACTTAAACCAGTCAGGTATTTGTTTGTTCAAGGTTCATATCATAAAAAAGTTTATTGATGTTATTAAAAAATAGGAATAGGTTTGAATCATCAGCAAAAATTATAGTTGTTAATTTTGAGACTTCATGGAGATATAATGTTAACATAAATTAGAAAAAATTAGGGCCGTAGTATAGATCCCTGCGGAACTCCACAGGTTTTATTTAGATAATCTATTGTTAATTAATCTTGTGAAGTGGATCCGTCGACATAGGCAAATTGTTTGCGATGTTTTAAATAGCTTTTTAGTAGTTTTAAAACATTACCGGTAATAACATAATGTTAAAGTTTTTTAAACAGTATATCATGGTCATTTGTGTCAAAAGCTTCAGATAAATCTATAAAGACGCCTAAAGTAAACTGACTTTTCGAACGATTCAGTTATACGATGAGTAAAATGAATTGTTGCATTTTTAGTAGAGTTATTTCTTTTAAAACCGTATTGATTTATGTAAAGTATATTTTTAAAAGCAAGATGATAAGATATTTAGTTAAACAAAGTTCTTTCTAAAAATTATGAAAAAACAGTGAGGATAGGTATTGGTCAATAATTACTAACATTTGATGGTTAACGTCCTTTACATATTGGCGTCATTTTAGCTATTTTTAATTGATCGGATAAAGTTCCTTGATTCTATAACATTTAAAAACTTTAAAAACAATATTATTTTATGATATCTTATGAATCTATGACTATTTTTCAATTTATATTATCCGGACAAACTGCTTTACTAGTTTTAAGCATTTTAAAAGCACTTTCAAATTCTGAAGAAGATACTTCAAATTTATTTAAACTCGAGAATAATGGAAACACTCAATCATTTATTGGATTAATCATATTTGGAATGTTTTTAGCAAAATTTGGACAACAGACACGAAATATATATATTAATTCTCTAGCTATTTGTTTGGGTTCATAAAAACACGCCACCAATTTTTAAAGTGTTAGGCATAAAGCATATTTTTAATTAACTATTTCCAGTAATTTGACTTATAGTTTGCCATGTGTGTTTTGAATTATGTTTATATTTTTCTAGTAAATCATAGTAATATCTTTTTTTAAATTTTTTTCTTTGACTTGAAAACATTTTATCAAAGTTTTTAGAAATAATTTTATTTTCTGGTGTTAAGTACTTTATAAGCAGTTTTTGCTTTATTTTTGAGGATTGTCTAATCTTTATTGACCCATAATGACTTTAAACTTTTATTGGTTATAATAAATTGACGTTTTGGAAAATTTACACCATATATTTCATAGAAAGTTTAAAAGAACGTATCGTATACTTCATTAGCTTTGAATTAACTTTTTATGTGATTTTAATTTATTTAAGATAATTGATCCTTAAACGATGCTGGATTTATATCGGTGAAAAATTGTTTGATAATGATTTTTTTATGTTGCTCTATTAATTTGTTGTCAATATTAATGGCGAAAAAAATAGGAAAGTGGTCGGAAACGTCACTTTTTATTATACCTTTTTGAAGGGCTTTATTAAAGATATTGACTGTTATAATGATGTCAATTAAGGTAGCTAAAGTTGAGGTTTACTCTCGTAGGTTTGTTAATTTGTGGAATTGCTTCATGTTCGAATAAGTTGTTGTAAATCTTTTTAATATTCAAAACAATTTAATTTTACATCACCAATTAGATAATTTGGTTTCTTTTCCTTAAACTTATTTTTTAACATATTACACAAAAATGAATTGAAACTTTTTATATGGCCAGATGGTAGGCAATAACAGCAGCATTTAAATATGTTTTTAGAAGTATTGTCTAAAAGTTCATTGGTTAAAATTTATTTATTGTTATCAGAAATACTCATCTCAGGCCTAATAAAAAGCCTCTAATTTTCCGTTATATAAAAAAGTACAACACCTCCGCGTTTATTTGCTTTATGCGCTGGTGGGATCATATTAAAATCTGGAAGATGGAGTTTTAAATTAGATATAGTGTCATTAAACTCACACTACGTTTCAGTTTAGCAAATTACATTAAATGTATTTGTAGTTTTCTCTAGAGAGCCTATATACTCAGAGAGCGAACATACGTGTGATCGTTTTTGATTGGTTGTTCGATTTTTATGATTTTAGACGCCATCTTTTTGCCAAAAATACTAATTGCGATTAAAGTCTACTACTAAATTTGTATAAAATATTTGTAAAAGTATGTCTGGTTGTGCAGCAGTAGGCTGCCATAACAGGCCTGAGAAATGATTTATTATGAAATGCTTCCCAAGAAATGAAAAACAACGGACGATTTGAACTTCTAAAGTTAAACGACTTAACTGGATACCTACAAACACAAGGTTTTTATGTGAAGTAAGCATAAGAAAATACAGTTTTAAGTAATTAAATGAGTTATTTTAGATTCCATACAAATACATTATGTTCGTTCAATTTTTTTATTAAGGTACACTTTGATGCTGATCAATGTAAAAACCAGAGAAGATGGATTAAGAAAACTCAAACATAATGCAATTCCTACTGTCTTTAAATATGTTAGAGCTAAACATAAGCGAAAAAATCTACTCGAGCGTTTTCCAATTCCAAAAATAAAATAAAATAAGTTGTATAGAAAGTGGAGAAGTTGTGGAAAATGTTTTAATTAAAGTAAATAACAATGAAGTATCTGAATCACTTTGTACAACTGAAGTTGTTAAAAATTTACTTATACAAGATTTAAATGCGAAATTAGAGAGATTGGAAAAAAAAGTCATTAATCAAAAAAAAAAAATTAGCATTTTGAAATCAAAAGCAAAAAATATAATAATTTAAAGAGAGAAAAATTTAGAGTTTTGAAAACAATATTTAAAGAAGATCAAATTTTATCCTTAAGTAGAAAAAATATGAAACTCATTAAATGATCAAATGATACTATAAATGAAGCGTTAGAACTCAAATATACATGTGGTCAAAGTGAATATGAAAATTTACTTTGTTTAAACTTACCATACCCATCATTACGTACCCTATAACGAAGATTAGAAAATTTAAAATTTCAAAGTGGCATTTTAACAGAAGTCTTTGAGTTTATGAAAACTAAAGTCAAAGCCATAAAAATCTATGAAAAAAGAATGTGTTTTAATTCTTGATGAAATGTCAATAACTGAAAGTGTTGACTATGACACATCTACAAGCTCTTACTATGGAGTTGTTACTAACCATGCTTTAGTTTTTATGCTTGGAGGAATATCTACAAGATGGAAACAAACTGTTGCATAATATTATACTGGAAGTTCTGTTAATGGGGGTGTTTTAAAAAACATTGTCCTATCTATAATAAAGTGTTATTTCTGATATGGGTGCCATTAACCAGGCAATGTGGAAATCTTTTAATATTAGCTGTACTAAAAGTGGCAGTATTTCTAGTTCAATTAAACACCCATGTGACCCTACTCGTACAATTGATTTTTTAGCAGACGTACCACATTTGTTAAAGAGTATAAGAACATCTCATTTATGTAACAAACATTTTATAATAACAGCTAAGATTCAAGAAAAATATAAATATCAATCGCCAATTATAGATTCAAAACACCTTAACAAGCTTGTAGGCTTTCAAGAAGGTATGAATTTGAAGTTTGCTTACAAGCTTACATCTGAACATCTTGATGAAAAACATTTCAACAAAATGAAAGTATCAAGAGCAACATCTGTAATGAATCATAATGTAAGTTGTGGATTAAAATTTATTGCAAGTGAAATAAAAGATAATTCTATTCTCACAACTGCTTGGTTTATAGGAAGTGTTGATAAATGATTTACATTAATGGCTTCACAAAACCCAGGTATATCTCTTAGCATGAAAAATAACAAAGTTTACAATGAAACAATAACTTTTTTAAATGAAGTCATAGAGATATTCAGTGATTTAAAAATATTAGGCCAAACTGGAAAAATAAGGTGGAAACCTATTCAATCTGGTGTTATATTATCATCAACATCAGTTATTAACTTGCAAAATAAGTTACTTTTAGAAAAAAAGTTTGATTTTCTAATGACATCACGATTTACACAGAATTGCCTGGAGAATCTTTTTTTCCCTGGTACGTGCAAAACAAGTAATTCCTACTGCTCTTCAATTTAAAAATAACTTGAAACTTATTTGCGTTGCCCAATTCTTGAAAAAATTATCAAAAGGCAATTATGATAAAGATGACCGTCAATTCCTATCTGGTTTTCTTGATATAGTTAGTAGCAAGGTGCATAAGCCACAGCAAAGAGAGTGCATTGTGTTAGCCAAAGATTGGGATAAAACCTCTAATCTAATCTTAAGTAATGCTGAGCAAAATTGTTTGTTTTATATTGCAGGTTATATAATTTCAAGAGTTAAAAAAATTGAAAAAGTTTGCACAATTTATTTTGAATCTCTAGTTTCTAAAAATAGAGTTAATGCTGATTACACAAAGTTTGTTACAGACAAAGAACACAAAGTGGGTAGTTTATTTTTTGCTATTGAAACAACATTTGCATTCTTTTTACAAATGGAGTTAATATTCAGATCATTTGAGTCATACTTAAATTCCCAGAAGAATTGTAATACTATGCTTTTAGAAAACAAATTAACTTTGTATCCTAGTTATCATCAAATTAAATTGAAGCTAAAAAACAGGTTTATAACATTCAGACTTAAAATATTTAGCCTTAAAAAAAAGCGTTTGTTATGTAAAAAGAAAAAAACTAAAAAAAGTTCTTGTGAACTTGGCAGTAAGAGTATGACAATGCATACATTTGCACTAAAGGTTTAGGTTCAACTAATTTATAAAATAAACTGTAAAGCTTTTTTCAAGTTACTTATTGATTACAACTACTTTTTTGCTGTTTTTTTTTTAAAGGTATTTCCTAAATAATAAATAATTTTGTCGAAAAATAATTTTGAAAAAAAAAACATAAAAAGGTTTCATTTTTGAAAATATATTTTTGTTTAAAATATTATTGTGCTCATTTGTTTTTTTTTTCTTTCAATTGTTTTTACTTGAATTCGTGAATGTCATACGCTAGTTTGGCAAAAACATGTCCGCCGCTTTCCGTATGTCCGCTCTTTAGTTTTCTCTATTAAAGAACACAAATTTTCAAAGTTTTCTTTAAGACTTAAAATGTAAATGGTAATGTTAATTGTAAATGATAATGTTAAAATCAATGAAATTAAAATGATCATGAGAAATAAATTCTTTTTTTTCTTTGTTATAGAAGTATGAACAATCGTTTTGAAAAGCTCCTACATCACTAAAATAGTTTAAATCCGGATCTGAATTAGTGTCAAGCACCATGTCGTTAGATTAAAAAAAATTAAATGATAGTGATTCAAAATTGTTTTGATAATTAGAACCCATTTTTAAAATTTAGTTAACTAGAAATAAAAGAATTCATTTAAAAATCGCAAGTAATAAGTTTGTTGTAAATGACTTTAGCAAATTTACCTTAGGCTCTTAATTTCTTTGTTTCTTTAAACAACTTTTTTTATTTTATTTGATAAGTCAAACTCTCTTGTTAAAGCAAACAGCATATTATACACTAATACATTTGTAATAAATATTAATAATACTGATATCTTTATAAAAATTTAAATCTAATTAACAATTAATAGTTTATAAATTTTACTTAAAATTTGTGAGTTCAACTAAGTTATATTTTGCATTATTTGTGCTCATAAAACCCCTACTGATTTTCTGTGTTCTTATAAAACCAACTCGCTTTTGATGAAATTATGTTTTTACACCTCTACAACCTGTAGTAAACGTCATAAACTAATTAATCATTAACAAATTTTAAATAAGTTATTATATTCTTGTAATTGTATGAAAACGAAACCTGCTTAAGGTAAATCTGGTACAACCATAGGCTTGTGAAAATATTTTCTGACTTCATGGGTTGTGAGGCTTGTGGTAAGTAGTGGTTTGTTTATTGAACCTTTCCACTCAATTAGATTAGTCAGTTTACTAGTATCAGTATTTATGCATATAGTTTTGCGAATTTTTACTGAAACTCTCCTAACTGAGTATTATCATCTCCTTCCTTTCTAATCTCTAGCATCTTTTTCGCTCCTTACTTAAATTCCTCTTCATCTTTGGAACACAAAAGAGTTAAAATAATGCATTCACTAAATGCAAATGCAGATTTTTTTGTAGTTTTCATTCTATTGCAATAATCCCTTTTTTTAAATATTTTTGTTGTTTCAATTAGAATGAAGTATGCCGAGGTCCAACTAAGGCATATTTTACCATTATTTGAAACCAGCAAAGAAACATTACACAAATTTAATAGTCAAACGTAGATTTCTGAAATTTTTTTAAGCTATTTTCTATATGAGTTAAAACCCAAGATCTGCAAAAATGGTTGGCATCAGTAAGCCGTCTGGAATGAGAAACAGACCTTATTTCAAGGTTTAACATTTTTTCAGGTAACACTCTAGATCTTATTGCTGTTACAATTCTGTGTTCGTAAGCCTGATTAGCCGAAAGATCATTTAGTATTTTGCCTTGCAAAACAATAAGTCGTTCACCTAAAGTTACTTTTTCAAAAATTTTGTTTGGATAATTTCTCTAGAGGGACCTCGAAATATTTTATTTCAGTTGAATTTCTTGTGTAAAAACATATTTCCACGAGAAGCGAGTAAAAAAATTGCTTGATTTTTGTAAAAATCACCTTTACAAAAACTCCTTTTCTGTATATATTTTTATGATTTTTTTATCCAAATAATCAATTTTCTTAAAATTCAGCGTAACCTTTATTGAGTTAATCAAAAATTTTAGAATTTTTTTTTTACGTTATAGTTTTTCCCTTTTAATTAATTACATTATAGTCATTTTTCCGTTCAAAACAATGCTGACCCACCTAGCAAGACATAATTTCAAAAAATTTTTTTTTTAGAGATCATAAAATTATTCACCAAAAATAACCTTGCCGTATTTCAAATTGAAAAAAAAATTAAAATCGGCATACCCTAATGTCATATCGAGCATCTGAAAGTATATTGCTTAGGCCATAAACCTTGGATTGTGACATGCGCTAGGCTGATAGTTGTGAAAACTATTTAATTTCTCATACTTAACGTTCATGTAATACGTCAAATATTAAATCAGGTATATATATATATATATATATATATATATATATATATATATATATATATATATATATATATATATATATATATATATATATATATATATACTCGTTTATAGTATATTTTTTAATGCATGCCACATTCCTTTGTTTCAACAGCAACGCATTACCTTTTTCTCATTTCCTCTGAACATGACAAACAGAGTCGATGACCACACTTTGTTAAGATAGGTTTACGAAGTGCCATTTTACAAATAGGACATTCATGCTCGTCTGAAAGTTCTTGTAAAAAATGTGCATCGTATCCACCGCATTCAAACATTCCGTTCAAATTTTCTTTTCTTCTAAAAAAAGTAAGTAGTTATCCTTTGCAACGAAAACCTTGTATTTTATTTAAATTTAAACATTTTTTAAACAAAAAAGTAAAATAGTTATTTTTGTTTTTCAAATTTATTTTTTCTAGAAACGAAGTTTATAATTAAATTTTATTTTTCTATAGTTTCTACATAGCATTCTGACTCTTTATTGTTATTTTTCAATAAAATGTCATAAATTTTATTTCATTACTTGCGATTAAAAATAAAATCAAAAAAAGCAAATAAAAACTTTAAGTTTTGAAGCAACCAATGAGACATTTTAATGTAATATGAGCATCTGCGTAATATGAGCATCTAGGTAATATGAGCTCATCAAAAGATTTTTAATGTGTAAGTAGTATTATTCAAGTTACTTTGTACTTTTTGAATTGACTTTTTGTGGTAATAATAGAAAGCAGTGTAAGTTTACACACATTAATTAGCGGCTTTCATCAAATTTTAACGCTGTTAAATTTTTTGATCCGTAAAAATATCATTATTACAGATGAATCAATCTTTAGGGCAAAACTTTGATGTTTAAATTTAGATATTTAGTTTTTTATAAAAAAAATTATATATTGGCTAGAAATTCATTTTTTTGTTTGTTTGAAAAACAATCTATAGAAACATTTACTTTTGACTTCATTTAAATATTACATTTCTGAGCACAAATTGCTCAAATTACCCAGAGTTTTGTTATAATAATTATATAGTTTAAAGTCCTTAAATTGCAGTGGTTTTAATTGCTTTTTAAATAAAAGCAAGACATAGTATAAAAAAAAAATTATATTTTAACAATACTTTTCTTCCTGTATTTATATATCAAAAAATTACAATTTTTATAGTTTAAAGGGCTAAGTTAATAAAGTCAAATAAATAATGAAAGTTTTTTGTTGATGTTGTGTTAAACAAAGTAGTAATGTTTCAATAAAAGTGCCTTAAAATATATATATATATATATATATATATATATATATATATATATATATATATATATATATATATATATATATATATATATATATATATATATATATATATATATATATATATATATATATATATATATATATATATATATATATATATATATACATATATATATATAAGGGCTTCTTTGTAAATAGAAGAAGAGTTTTCAAAAATTATTTTGCTGGAGGAGTTTGATGATAATCTTTGTTCAATAGAGGTCGGCAGCTGTTTTAAAATACTTGGTGGATGGTTAGAGCTGGCATGGATATAGTTTAACAAATAAAAAACCATAAACCTGAAAGTTTGTTAAACTATATCCATGCCAGCTCTAACCACCCACCAAGTAATTTAAAACAGCTGCCAACCTCTATTGAACAAAGATTATCATCAAACTCCTCCAGCAAAATAATTTTCGAAAACTCTTCTTCTATTTACAAAGAAGCCCTTATAAAGTCTGGACATAGCAGCAATATCCAATATCGTCGTAATTTAAATTTACAAAAAACTAATCATCATACTAATAAACGCAAACGAAGCATCATATGGTTTAATCCCCCTTTTAGTAAGAATGTTGTCACCAAATTAGGAAACCTTTTCTTGAACTTTATCGACTTACATTTCCCAGCACACCACAGGCTACACAAGATTTTTAACAGAAACACCGTCAAAATAAGCTACAGCTGCATGCCAAATATTAGTACTATTATTAAGTCTCACAACCAACACATTTTGCGTAACCAAAATACCGAAAACGTTAGAAAATGCAACTGTATAGACAGAGCTGCGTGTCCTTTAGAAAATCAATGTCTAACTAAAAATATTGTTAACAAAGCTACCGTAACACCAGCGAACGTCAACCACGCTAAGAAATCTTATATTGGTATTAGCGAAAACTCCTTCAAGATTAGGTTTGCAAACGACATAAAATCATTCAACTTGGTTAGGTATAAAAATGACACTGAACTTTCTAAAGAGATCTGGAAACTTAAGGAAGCAGGCATTAAACCAATAATCAAGTGGAGTATTATTAAAAAATGTCAACCCTTTAACCCATCCTCAAAAAGATGTAGTCTTTGCATAAATGAGAAATATTTTATTTCAACATACAATAAAGAACCTTTGTTAAATAAAAAAAGTGAATTGGTTTCAGCATGTAGGCACAGAAAAAAGTTTTTGCTATCGAATTTCGACACCGGTTAAATAAACTCCCGTTTGGCGTGAAAACTGACGTTTGATCTCGTTGCAACGCAATTTTGTATTTTTATAACGGTTTTTATTTTAATGATTTTTTAATATATGGCTGAATGATTGCCGAATGGCATGAAACTTGAAGTCCCATAAAAAAGTCGTATTTTTTTCATTTAAATATTTAATATATTTTGATCTATTTTATAAATATCGATCGCTCTTAAACCGACAAAGAGCTGTATTAAATCCAACAGAATACAACACAACTCAATAATAATAATAATAATAATAATAATAATAATAATAATAATATATATATATATATATATATATATATATATATATATATATATATATATATATATATATATATATATATATATATATATATATATATATATATATATATATATATATATATATATATATATATATATATATATATATATATATATATATATATATATATATATATATATATATATATATATATATATATATATATATATATATATATTCTGTTTTCCACAAGACATATTTTGTTTTATATAATATTAGAGGTTTTTTGCAAAAATTTGAAGCAAATCGGACAATATTTAGTGGTCAAAAATTTTTTTATGTATACGGTCTATACGGTGAAAAGAGTTAAAATTTTATTGATATTTTTATATTTTATTATTTAAAATTTTAAATGAAAAGTTGTTATAATAATGTTTTCACAAGTATGACATACAAGTAATACATATAAATAGAAAATAAAAGAAAAAAATAGTAATGCTTCATCTAATGTCATCTACCGCAATCATGGCTGCCTTAGAGGAGGATGGGTAAATTTGGCTGTGTCGCTGGACAAAACGAAGGAAAAGCTGTGTTTGGTCTTCGTCTTTGGTGAGGGTTTCATTATATATCTAGACAAAAGCAATGCCATGCTCTGCGCTATCATGAAGAACCTTCATTTTGTCGACTCGATCCTTCAAATTTCGGTAACAAGCATCCGATTCCCATGCTTCTGGATCTTTCAACAGGAAACTCTTGACCTCCTTCTTTCCAGTAATACTATGGACTTTCACAAATTTTTTAAGTTGAATGAAGTCTGCGTCACACTTGCTTATTCTCTTTAGAGCTTACTGAGTTTTTGGAAGCTGACGTTTGGCTATCATGGCTCTTTTAACATCTAAAGGGAGTAGGTTGTCAAAAAAAGCTAAGCCCACGAGATGTTCTGAGAAGAACCACAGATGTCAAGTTAATGCAGTGTAAGCTGCATTAGCAATGGTACGGTTCGGATATTTCTCGAGAAGCTCGATTATTACTGCATCATTCAGGGGAGCGTATGAAGCCAGTGAAGCCTTGTGCCAGAAACGTCCATAAATGAGAGAAACGAAGAGTGCCTGCTCCTTCAGATTTCTATTTTCTTTAGCAGTCAATTTCAACTGGCCTTTAAATAGCAACAATTTTAGAGAATAGATGGCCTTCGACCTTTATTGAGCATGATGCATTGCTCTTGGAGCTCGGAACTGGAAGTCCATCTTAAAACTGCTTCCACCAAGAAAAACGAGAAATAGCCGAAGTAGCTTGAGGTAAGCCTCCCGAGTCTGTTGATGCCTATGGCTTTGGTGTATTAGGCAACCATCTCCGCCCAAAAAATTTCGGTATCCTCATTGAAGGTTTCGTCTCTAGCTGAAGAATACTCAGATGTATGGCCATTATTTCTGAAACATCTTAAAGAGACCAACTTCTGGTCCACCCGTCCCACCAAAAACAGCTCTGAAGATACTGCTCAGAACAACTTCCAGGTTATGATGATGTCATCTAATGTTTACAAGTTCATGACCAATGGTTTCCTCAATAAGAACGTATAAAAAGCCCCTCAATGGATGTCTGTGTTGGAGGAAGTTGTATCAAATACCTTGAACTTTTTCTCGTAGATCCTAGTCATCTAGTACTTTTAAGCTTGAAGCAGCCTGTTTTTTCCTAGTTCCTTATGCAATTTTTGGGACTGCCAATCCAGTGACGATCACATTAATTCGATCGACGGTTTCTTTTGCACCAGCTATCTCTGGAAGTAGTTTCCAATGGAAAAGTAGTCAAAATTTGATTGAAAAAAAAACTCTTATTTGCTTTAGCTACGTTTTTTCGGGAAGTTATCCGTGACCTTCTGATGGTGCTCTGAACAATATGCATAGTTCCACGATCAGGAAGACTTATTCTTAAGCCTCTGCAACTTCTGGAGTTGCTATCACGCTTTTTAGTCATTTAGGCTTTAAGGAAAGACTCTAAAATCTTTATCGTTGACGTCGTCCTCGTCTTCAGACTTAGGCAAAGAATTGATATCCAAAGTAGGACCAAATATTTCTATTTGCTGCAACTTTTTTGTTTATTTCGGTCTTCAATTTTCATTATCTTCTATACGAGATCTTTTCTTTGTCTCTTTCTCTGCAAGATTGCAATCCACTCCAGCTATGCTTAAACTGGTGTTTTCTCTCTACATTGTTAGGAATTGTCTGTCTTTTTTGCTTATTACGATGTCCGAAGCATTCTTTGTGGCTAAGTCAAAAAGTTATATCAGGTTGTCTTTGAACATTTTCTCTATATATCTGCAGCTTTTATATGCTTTTTTCCTATTCACCTTCAATAGTTGATATTCGAAGTCAATATTTCTAAAGAGAATTGGTTGGTGGCCTTGCCTACAAGCCAAACTTAGGCAGAACTTCTTGCTGCAGTTGCCGTTATGTAATTAAGTACCTGCCTGTGGTTATAAAATAATACTGAATAGTAAATACTTTCATAAAACTATTGTTTATGAATGTTATGTTCAAATGCTCAATGTTCATTTTATTTAAAAAAA